TACATGATAGCAAGTGTTAAATGACACAAAATGAATGATGAAAAAGAAGACCATTTCAAAAGTGATGCTCTAAATGTCAGAGTTAGGTAATTTCAAAGGGGTACAGGATTTTCTTTCATAAAATTAAATTGAAAAGCAAAAACTGGAATTTTCAGAGTTTTCATAGATCATAATTAATGGGATTATATAGGACATATGTAAAATAATGACTTATCTGTACAAAAGCTGTGTGTGTGTGGAACATGACCTGTGCATACTCTGCACTGAGGTTAACCACTTTGTACAGTCTGCTCTTCACATATTCTCCATTCATGGATTCAACCACACAGAGATTTAAAGAACACCCCCCCCCCCCAAACCTATACAAGGGACACTATTGGATGTAGTGGTATTGTATATCACAGGAATTGAGCATTCATGGAGTCTGTTATCCATTGAGGTTCTTGAAACCAAACTCCTGTTGTACATATTCATGGCACTTGTTGCTTAACTAATAGTGACATTCTCAGCTGAGCTCCATTCTTCTTAAAATGCCCTCCATGTCCACATGCATTTGAATTTCAGCCCAGATTGTGGAAGAGTTTGGAAGATGAATGGAACCACACAAATCCAGCAGATCTAAAGATTTCACTGGACACTTCTGTGATATGAGCATGTGCAGGGAAAAACCTTATGAACAACAGAGCACAAGAGCATGGATTTACTGTTTCAACCCAGGGAGCCTTGGCACATACTTGGTTCTTAGGAACTTTACACAATAAAGGAAATTCACCCATAATTTGAGGGTTAGAAATTGACTACCAGAACTCAGGATGAGAAATAAACAAAAATGAAATGAAAGAGCCTCCAGTTCTGCTCATCTCTCTTCTGGAGTTGTGCCCAAGTGAATCTTGCCTCACATGAAGCTCCTGGCAGGAATTTAATTCAGTAGCTTGGCGATTCCTTCCAGGTTTCTTCACTAGTTGACTCTGCCACTGAACAGAGCTCATGCTTAAAGAAGCAGCATCTCAAAGGGATGAAGTAGCATTTGCATTAGCCTATAGATTCACTGGTTCTAAAACAAGAAGGGTGAGGAAGCTCTGGTTCACCAAAGCCAACAACTCCCATCATGCTTTAGGAGTTAGAGCAGGCATGGGCAAACCCAGGTCTGCAGGCCAGGCACTGCCCTTTGGGGTCTCAAACCCAGCCCCAGTCTCCCTTGGCCCACTTCTCAGCATGCGAAAGTGGCAGCCCATCACCCCCAGGCTGAGAAGAGGGCCAAGGAAGAAACCCGCAGCTGGCAAGAGCTCTCCAGAGCTCTTGCCAGCCACGTGGCTCCCCTTCCCTGCCTGAGAACACGGTGGGCTGCCGTCTCCCCAGGGGGATAAGAGTGCCAAGGGAGAGGCAGGCCACTGCCGGAGTGTTAGGATTTGCAAAGGGACGCAATGATAAGGTGGGTTAACTGGAGAGAGATGTGTCAGCAGCCGATTGGCTGAGTGTGCCAGGAGCCAGGGTTCTCATTGGCTGCTGCCTCTGGTTGGCTGTTGAGGCCAATGGTTCTAACTGTCATTCTGCCATTTGTTCTCACTTTGGACAGTGAACAGAAAGTGTTGACTGCCAACTATCTTAAGAACTGATCATTTTATGGCATGAGGCATATTTCAAAGACTATTTAAAAAGACTATTTTATTCCTCTGTTCCCTGTCTGAATTCAAAAAGACCGATGTATACATTATTACCGTTTGAACTTTTGAACCAAAGTAAAGATACGGTTATTTCTTTCACAAGCTTGAGTGACATTTTTTTATACAGCAGGATATACCTTGGTTTAAATACTATGGTAAAGCTTCTGCTTATTCTGCTTATACACATTTACCAACCTTCACATTATGATTTTACAAATTAAGTACCAAAACTTCACGTTTTACAACAAATCGACAGAAAAAGCAGTTCAATACACAGTAATGTTATGTAGTAATTATTGTATTTACGATTTTAGCACCCAAACATTGCAATGTATTGAAACAGCTGTGTATCCAGGCAGGAGGCAGACTGCATTGAATAATACAGAATGCTGGATGAGCAAAAGTTGGATAAATGAGACTCTACTACTGTATGTGCAATGTCAGGACAGGCATGATCTTGTGAGATCAGTGGCCAGTCCACCCATGTTATGGGAGGAAATACCCAAGGGATTAGGCCTTCATGTTCCTCCCCCAAGCGCCTTTATAGGTCTGCTTCTTTTGCATGCATTTTCTGAGGTTTTAACTGGTATGTAAAATTTAGTGTCAAGTGTTTAAGAGAGAGGGAGTAGCAAAAACGTCCTCATTCCTTGTCTAAGAAAACTCTTTGAATTTCATGAGATAGTTTGAGCATCATGCCACCAAGTGGTAAATAATGGTTAGTAGTTACAAGTATGATTGCCAAGTTTTTTTTAGCAAAACCCTTGTATCAGCAGGAAATACATTTCAAGAGTCCCATTACAACCCATGGATATCTGATACCGATACCATGGATAATAGTGAACTCTATATCTTAACAATGCTTGGTCTGGATGTATGCCATAGAATCACACTGGAGGACCTAGAGAGATTCAAAACTATTCAGGGAGGTAGGTTAAACCAAAGATATTGATAAATGGATTGTACTGCATTGTAGTGGTTGAAACAAACAGGGATCTCTCCAGACACGGCAATGATCATTCATATGGCAAGTGCAGTTCCATGAAAATAAGTGTCAGGTGATATGCAATGGATTAAAAATAGCAACCTGTGAATCGTGATAGATTCTAAGCTGATGGTAAATTATCTGGAATGGGTTTTTGAAGTTGTAGTGTATAGATTGATGAAATGTTGAACCAATTATATGTAGAATTACAAAATGAACCAAAAATAAATAAGAATAAAGGTTACTAGTATTAATGGGTGTTTATTGCCCCTAACTATGAAAATGAGTCTTTAGGTAGTTGGGAAGCAAACATAGATGTTATTAGTCCGGGTCAAAACATGAACTCTACATACAGCTCTGGACTATGTGATGTTATTTATTTATTGTGTCAGGGGCAACCAGACAATTGTATTACATTTCTAACAGAACAAAAACAAACGGACAGACACAAAATGAAATTTGCAAGCTTGGTAGTTGATTAAATGTCCTTTGACCAGTATCTGGCCACTTGGAGTGCCTCTGTTGCTGCCGCAAGAAGGTCCTCCATTGTGCATGTAGCAGGGCTCAGGTTGCATTGCAGCAGGTGGTCAGTGGTTTGCTCTTCTCCACACTCGCATGTCATGGATTCCACTTTGTAGCCCCATTTCTTAAGATTAGCTCTGCATCTCGTGGTGCCAGAGCGCAGTCTGTTCAGCGCCTTCCAAGTCGCCCAGTTTTCTGTGTGCCCAGGGGGGAGTCTCTCATTTGGTATCAGCCATTGATTGAGCTTCTGGGTTTGAGCCTGCCACTTTTGGACTCTCACTTGCTGAGGTGTTCCAGCGAGTGTCTCTGTAGAACTTAGAAAACTATTTCTTGATTTAAGTCGTTGACGTGATTAAGCACTATGCATCAAGTACCAACCATGGTTACTCACAAATGTCTTTCATAAAGAGAGAAATGGAGAGAGGACATATCTTCTAATTGGAAATGAAGACAGAAATCTTAACAAAAAGAACTATTTCAAGATCAGATAAAAGAGAGGGAGGTTATTCCTTCCCACTTTCTTCAAGAGACAGGATTAGGAACTGCAGCAAGACCGAGAACAAGCCACGAGAATAAAGAAAAAGATCCACCCAGAGGAAAAGTGTTCTTGCCATACATCAAGGGAACTACTGACCACATAGGGAAGCTGATGAAGAAACACAACCTACAAACTATCTACAGACCCACCAAGAAAATCCAACAAATGCTACATTCAGCAAAGGACAAGAGGGACCCTCCCACCTCTGCAGGAGTCTATTGTATACAATGCAGCTGTAGGCAAGTCTACATAGGGACCACCAAATGCAGCATTATCCAAACATGAATCAAGAAACTTGGAAGGCAAACCAGACTAATTCAACCAGAGAAGTCAGCCATAGCAGACATAGCAGTGCACTTGATGGACCAACCTGAACATAGCATATTATTTAAGAACATAGAAATGCTGGACCACTCTAACAGCCACTATGTCAGATGACACAGATAAGCCATTGAAATCCACAAGCATGTGGACAATTTCAACAGAAAGGAAGAGACGATGAAAATGAACAAAACCTGGCTACCAGTTTTAAAAAATCAGGACAGTAAATAATGAACAACACTCAGGAAACAGGGGAATTCCAGACTGGAAACAATCAGGGTCAGGTAACACCTCCCAACAAAGCATTCCCCTAGGTAAGAAGCAGCCAGGTCTTGAAGCTGCAAAGCTATTAAATGCTAATCAAGCTGGCCAATTGCAACATTCACACCTGCCTCAAACAGAAAAGAGTTTTTCTCCCATTCTGGTCATTCCACAGATGTATAAACCTCACTTGCCTAGTTTCCAACAGACCTCAAACCCCCCGAGGATGCCTGCCGTAGATGAGGGTGAAACATCAGGCGAGAATGCTTCTGGAACATGGCCATGCAGCCTGAAAAACCCACAACTTGAATGAGGAACATCTGTGAACCTTCTTTCTTCTAACCAGAGAGTGGGTGCACAACATTACAGAGGATGAATCCTGGTGCTACAATAAATGTAATAATAATAATTGGAAAGAAATTAAAATAAAGGCTATTTTTGTTTTTATTCAAATTCATGTATAGTTTGGACTAGAGAAATGCAGAAAGGTAACAGTTTTACCTGGGTCAATGTGGTCTTCCTTATTAAATTGAAAAAGACCTAGGAAGTGGCCTTTGAGGCTGTTCTTGTTAAGAGTCCCCATACCCTTGCATGTTTTTGCCTTTTGAAAAAGGGAAACTGAAAGTTTTTGTGTTCTTGTCAGCAGATATTTTTAAACTCCAACTCTTCTCTTCCTCTTTTGTTTTTTATATACTTCTTTTACAGGCTTTCTCTTAACAGATTTTTTGCTCACCAGCGAGACAGACATATCAGGGGACAGACCTGAAACTCTTGACAGAATTCAAAAGATGGAAAAACTTCGCACAGTGTTAGATTTCTGCCTTAGTCACCAGAAGGCACTGGGCTATGGTGCAGTGTCCTTGCTGACTCTTGGCAGTGAGCGCATTTTTTCTGTTGTAGTGTTCAAATGCCCATGCAACTCCTGGAACATGCTCTATGGCACTGTTTTCCTACTGGCACCAGCCCTGATTCTGTTTCTGCTTGGATTACTGCTCAATACCCGGTCTTGGAAGGTGCTTACTGGATGCTGTGCTCCTGGTAAGCTGTGTCTATGTCCTCATGCAAATCGCTTCTGGCGCTATGTGCAAGTGCTATGGCTGGTGATGGTCACTGCCGCCGTGGCTCCCTTCACCTGGATTGCTGTGGCCTTACTGGGAGGCAGCTTCTATGAATGTGCAGCTACTGGGAGTGCCATATTGCAAAACTATATGTGCAAAAACCAAGGGGAAGAGTGCTTCAAGAAGGTGCTTCAGGTGCCCTGTCAAAGCTCCAGTTCTTCCCAAGAGATGCAAGATATGCTCACCAGTCTTCGAGCCCAGTCTCAGGTTAGTATAACCTCTTCCCAAGGAAGAGTTTTCAGTTTGGCAGAGGAGGTGACAATGGAAGGGAAACTGATAGCTAAAGTGTCTTGTTGGTAAATTGTTTGTTCCACGTGTCTTCTCATCACACCCCTGGTCAGAGCTTAAGCAACTAGTGAGCTACTACTGGCTCATTTCTCAGATTGTTTCTTAGTTCTTGTAATGTTTGATAAACATTACAGGCAAATACTTTTTTTGTATAACAAGGCTTTTCATGTTCAATTTGCAGCCACAGCCTTATTTGTTTTTTTAGCTTCTTTAATGCTATTTTGGGGGTTAGTTTTCAGACCTCTTCTTACTTTCGGCATTCTTCCTTTCTCTGCTACACCCCCCCCCCCCCGCGTTTCCTTCTTCTCACCAGGGAGCTTAATCTTGTCCCCTTTTTGTTCTTCCTTGTTGTTGTTTTTTATTCGTTCAGTCGCTTCTGACTTCGTGACCTCATGGACCAGCCCACGCCAGAGCTCCCTGTCACCCATTAAAACCCTCAGCTCCTTCAGAGTCAAGCCAGTCACTTCAAGGATACCATCCTATTTTGCAGTATTTGTGCTTAGGAAGAGTCAACTTGGAGTCCTCTAAATGTTATTAGGCTGCAGTTTCAATCGTCCCCCACAATTGAGTATGTTAGCTAGTACTGATAGGAGCTAGAATCCAACAATATCAGCATATCCTCCAACATTTCACAAATGCAAACCAGGATGTGTGTGGCCAAGCATGGCAAACATTAGGAACAAGGAGGAACACACAAACTAAGCTGCTGTAGCTTACTCTTTTCTGAGTCTACATTAGTCTCTCTCCCTCCTTCCTTCTTTTTTCTGCTTTCCCCACAAAAGCGTTTCTGAGAAAATATCTTCACAAAATAGAGTTTTGGTTTCTTGTAAACGTGCAAGGCAACGCCTTAGCTGGTATTGGTAGGGGAATTCCCTCCCATCACAAACAAACAGAGGAGGGACTTTCCTTAGGGGTGAAGCAGAAGAGAAGATTGATAGACTCCACCCCTGTGATTTCTTCAAACCCTTGGACTACCCATCCCACCCAATCCTCTCCTCTTTTTTCTCCAACAGAGAAAAAAGGAACTCTATCCCAAGGCCTCTCCTATGGCTAATAGAATTTGGTCCCATTCACACATACGAAATAGACACTTGAAGTTTTGCAAAAGTTGATAAAAGTCCTCAAAAAGTTCATCAGTTGAAGAAAGTTCATAAAAGTTCCTGAGAAGTCTTTAAGGGTTCATGAGAGCTCCCAAAAGTCAACGGGGAGGGGTTGGAGTTCATTCATAAAAGAGGAGTTTCATTCATAAAAAAGGAATCCAATTAATAAATAATAGCCAAATTGGTCAGATGCTAGTTTGGGTTACAGGGACGTTGCCATATGGGGCCATGGAAGAAGCCTTAGGTTCCCACATGGGGGAGAGACAGGGGATTATGGGATCATTCCAGCCTGGTGTCCTTGGACAAACTATGAATTCCCTGATTTTGAACTATCTTTTTCAGAGTCCTGGGGGGATGGGGGTCACCTCTGATCACACAGCCTCCGCTGCAGGAAAAAGCACCCTAGCTGGGCCTAAAAAGGAGACTAGAGGTTCCTGAGCTAAGGCTGGGAAGGAAGTGGCCAACAAGGAGGGCCCAACGAGGCCACCTCCTTATCAGTATCAGTATCAGATGGGGCACCTCCAGCCTGCTGTTTAGGCCCAGCTGCTGTCTCCGGCCTCCTTGGCTCTCCTTGGCTCCCAAAGGCACCCCGGCAGTCATTCTGAGGAGGCGGGGCCTGAGGAGGTGGCGGCACAACCCCTCAGAGATGGCCAAACAAGCCCTCTGGGGTTTGCGACCCCCACGTTGAGAACCGCTGATCTAGAAAGTCTGAGTGACATGATGATGAACACTATAAGAATAGCGATACTTTTCCTCTAGCAAAACCCAAAAGTGGACTCCAAATTACATGATCTGGCCTCCTGTTTGGTATTTACAACATACAAAGAAAAGTTATGACTATAGAACCTAAAGTCATGCATTAGTAACCATGTGTAAACATCATTACCCATTGATTTGATATCCACAATTTCCTTTACCCGTGCTACAAAACTCACTTCCAGTGTGATTCTATGTTATGCTTCTGGTCCAAGTATAGTTCAAATATAGGATCTATAATTCTCCACATTTCAGATACCTAGGGGGAGGTGTGTTGAAACAGATATGGGGGGGGGGGCATAATATACTAGATGCAGTGGAATAAATAATTATGAAATAGGAAGAATGAACACAGAATGGCCAGATGTTGCTGCTGGATAATTATTTTAATAGAAGGACACAGGTAATTATATGTTTTAATGGTTTTTTATGGTTTTTATAATATTAGGTTGAATGTTTTAAACTGTATTTTTATGAATGTATGGCATCAAATTCTGCCAATTCTGTAAGCCGCCTTGAGTTACCGTAAGGCTGAGAAAGGCGGGCTACAAATGCTGTAAATAAATAAATAAGTAAATGGACCCATTGAAATTCCTCTATGCATTGACATGCTTATTCTGTTCTCTCCAACAGTGGTGGTAGGTAAATGACTGTTTAAAATCCAGGAAGCTTTTACATGGGAAAAAGCTATGTTTTGCAGCCAGACGATGGAATGAAGTCAAAAACAGAAATCATGATTTCTGGCTAATTTCTGACGGATCAATAAGATTCCCACATACTTATTTATAATATGTGTTTGTTTGCGTGTGTGCATGTGCCTTCCAGTTATATGTCAACTTATGTTGACACCATTCATTTCGTAGAGTTTTCTTAAGAACTGGATAATTAGAGCTGGTTTTGCCAATTATTTCCTCAGAAATGTAGCCTGCAGCACTATCACTAACAGAAATTGCTGTTTTCCACTTAAATCCAGCTGCTGTTGTGAAACAAACTTGGAACACCAGTAATATGTTTTTGTTAAACTCATACAAACTGAGTGAACCGTCCCAGATTTTGTTCCTGTTCTTTCCAATGTTATAGTAGATTAAAATAAACCGATTTGGGGAGTTGGTATAAAATGTCTCTCTATTATACCAAGAACTGACAGAAAAGATTCTGGGAGAAACAAAATGTGTATGGATCCCCAAAATAAAATGAGAAAGAACAGAAACAAAACCTGGGACTTTCTGGTCTTTTAAATCTGTCTGGATGTCAATTCTGGTGCTGAAAATCAGTTCACGAGCTTAGAATGTATTTAGAAGCACTGTTTCCTGGATGTGGTTTCTTTTGCATTGAGTGTTTTGTTTCTGCTTGATCTACCTTGGCCACATCCTGTGGTTTCTTGGGATTTTCAGTTTTCAGACATATTCAGAATTCTCTGGTGGAAAATTATAAATATGTCATGGAATTTCAAATTTTAGTACTCCAAAGGAAGGAGTCATGGTAGTTAAAGTGGCATCAAAAATGATTCAGTGTATGTATGGTTTGGGCTTTACTCTAGCTGCTGGAGATTGAGTCTGAACTTTATAAATTTTTCCTTTATCAAAAGCAGTATTATGATCTTTTTCATGCTTCTTCCCAAAGGTGATTGGATGGATTCTGATTGCCAGCGTCTTCACATTGGCCCTGGCTGCCACCTGTATCTCCCGCTGTCGTTCTCCAGTTAGTATACTTCAGCTTACATTCTGGAAAATGTACCTGGAAAAAGAGCAGCAACTTTTTGAAGTTAAGGCCAAAGAACATGCATCTCAGCTGGCAGAGAGGAATCTCAGGTGCTTCTTTGATTCCACCCAATTGGAACAAATTCACACTCCAAGTGCCAAAGCCTGGCATGGCATTTCCTCCATGTTTGCCTTTAATCCCGAAGAGCATTACTACAGTATGATACATAAATACATCAGTTCTAAAACCAGCAGTGGAAGCATCAAATCAGCTGAAGGAGATACTTTTCCCACTTGTCTGGGGTTTGTGGATGGAGTTGGGGTTGCTGATTCCCAAGTACTATAATCAGAAGAGTCTGGGCTGGCACTGCCCTCCTCCTCCTCTTCCGTTTCTCTTCTATTTTCAGTTCTGTGGACTTTATCACAGGAGGCAGGCAAACTGGTTTGCAGATGTTTTAATCGTGTCAGAAGCAACTTGAGAAATTGCAAGTCGCTTCTGATGCGAGAGAATTGGCTGTCTGCAGGGATATTGCCCAGGGGTCACCTGGGTGTTTTACCATTCTCTCATGTCCCCGCATGAGCTAAACTGTCATCTTTGGTGATGATAGCTAGCTGTCATATGGTGCTGTGTACATCCCGCTACCAGGTCCCCACCTCTTGGTGATCTCGTATCTTACAACTGATAAGGAAAACTTGTCAATAGCTCTCCATCCTACTACATTACCATTACTTACCCTAGTGTGATGAATCCTTTCTGCTTTTATGTTGACATGCCTATTGTCATGTGAGGATAGTGGATGGAATCTCCCTATCCCATTTTCAAAGTGGTTGTTTTGCATATCTCTGTATATCTGTGTCTTTGCCAATCTATTTTATATTTTAGGCTGATGTGTTTTTTTAAAAGTAAACAAACTGCAAGGCATGCTAAGTAGGGAAAAGGGTAAGCCAGTGGGGCTACAGAAGATGTTCATCTTCTATATTTTCCTAGCATCTTCCTGATCCAGAAGAGAGAATCACAAAGAAATAGATTGTGGACAGACCTCCTTTTGGATCAGGCCCTGCATGCCAAATGTTTGTTATGGGGAGCAAGACAGATTGTGGGACCACAGTTTGGCAAACAAGCACGGTTTTGTAATGTTGAAAGTTCTTGACTTACTATGTATCCATTATCTATACTGATATGACTATTGCAACCCAGCAGGTTGCTGTGACCCCAACTAGTTTTCCCAGCTACCCCAAATCCTAAACCCTCTTCCTTTATGTTAAATAAGCAAATAATGGCAATTAGATTTTGGAGGGGAAAATCCTGGTAGAGGTTAACATTGCACAAATGGGTTGAAGTGGCGTGTGTTTGAAAAGCGAGCACCTAAAATAATGTTGCGTTTATTTGCATGTGTGTATGTACACATGTACATGCATGCACACATGCAGATACAACTACAAAATTGGCTGGAACTAATATCAGCGAATGTGGAGGGATTGCTGTACTCTAGAACAGGCATCCTCAAACTGCAGCTCTCCAGCTGTTTGGGCCTCCAACTCCCAGAAGCCTTAACAAGCTTGTTCAATTGTCAGAAATCCTGGGAGTTGAAGGCCCAAAAAGCTGGAGAGCCACAGTTTGAGGATGCCTGTTCTAGACCCTTGCAGTCTGCATCAACAGTTTACAGAGAGTTAGTTCTCTTGACATTGTAATTTGTAAAGATTTCTTAACTGATAGTCACTAGCATAATGGAATTCTCAGTGCTCCCTTAATCCATGATTTTATTAAGCATGCTGGGAAAATAACCAGACATTAACATTACTGGGAAAGTACATGCTTCCTTACAAAGGAAGCCTGGGAAGGCACCTTCATACTTACAGTACATCCGTTGATGCAGCTAACAGCAACAATTACCACGAGTGGAAAATAACCATTTCAGATGGGGGGAAAAATCCCAAAATACCAGTACAATAACAAATGAAGAACACAGCAACGGGTATTATTTAAAGCACAATATTCTTTTATTTTGCTTTCAGCATAACATTGATCAGAAAATTGCAAAATATATGTACCAGTGTATTTAAAAATTGCACATATTCATATAGAAGCTCAATTCACATGTCACTTTTTCATTGTAGACAGGGAAAGTACCACAGAGTTTTTAATCATCCCCTCCTTGCTGGATTCATTGTTCTCCACTTGTCTGGATTCTGTCTTGTTTTACAGAGCACTATGATAAGTTGCTATGGTTGTTATGTGAACCAAGACAAAGGTCCCATTAACACTGCCATATCATGCAGTATAAGAGCCCCCAAGCATTCTCTGTTCACTCATTAATTCCCAATTCAGCCCAGCCATCCACTAATAAGAAAGCCTTGCTCCTCACAGCCATCCATCTAACTCTACCTGGTTAGAGCATGTACATCAGAACCCCATCACATGACATGAACATACAGGTAATTCTTGAGGGCGCAGGAATGCCTGGAAGGACAGTACAAACATTTTATCTGCAGGACTGCTACCTATAATTTCATTAACCTGCATCCGACAAAATGTGTCATCTCTAGATAGTTCTAGGTCCTTTATGATATGTTGCTGACTGAAGACATTTGTTCAATAGAGATCACTCTTATCCATATTTTCATGTATCCTGGAACATATCCCCAATGGATACAGGATGGCACTATACCTGGAACTCAAATGCTATTGGCTCTTCAAGAAGGATCATTTTGTATCCCACCCTCCTCTGTGTTTGCGTCTTGGATGTGGAATTTTTGCTCCCCATAACAAACATTTGGCATGCAGGGCCTGATCCAAAAGGAGGTCTGTCCACAATCTATTTCTTTGTGATTCTCTCTTCTGGATCAGGAAGATGCTAGGAAAATATAGAAGATGAACGTGTCAGGTGTGTATCTACAAGAATTTCAATCACTGGTTTGACTTATTTCTTTTGTGTTTCTTGCTTTCAATCTTCTTTAAGAACGTAATTCCAATTTCTGTCACATCATCCCCCTTCAAAGCGTCTTGAATGAAAGTAACTTCAGCATCTAGGTGTATCTGAAAATAAGTAAAATTTGGCTGAATGGAAGAAGATACACCATTATTCCTCTCCAGTTTCTCTGTAATAGTGCTTTCCCTCCTGTAAGAGAAACCCCCTGTAAGCCTTTTTCAGTCCTTTGGGTCCTTTTTATCGCAGGTACAGTCTTTACTGTATATCTATTGTTAGTATTTAAATACTGCCCCATAAAAGAAATTACCATGGCTGATAAGGAAAGCCATAACAAAAAAAAGAATACTGTTCAATCAGTTAGTTATTTCTATACTACATTTCACAAAGCCACAAATACTCCATTCAGCTATCTAATAAAAAACGCATACCATATGACATGGAAGTAATAAATCATAGCCATGATTCACATCAAGTTAAAATTTAGTAATAACTATGAGATTTTAAATACCAGCACAAAAACAGCCAGATTGCTTCCTATCTGAGTTGAAGGGGTAGGTCATTCCGCATGGAAGAACTGGGATTTTAAAACGTGTTTCCTAACATTGTACCTAATGTTTGGCATAAAATGTTATGTGATATCAAAGCAAGTTAAGATCAATTTTAAAGGAAAAAAGAAAGAAGCATGAATCAAAATGGATCTAAATCTAGAGCAGAATGTAAGAGAACTGAGAATATAAGATTGCTTTGTGCAAAGTTTGATACTGTGGATGCACCATGAAATTATATTAATATTACACCCGCTGACCTCACTCCCAACTTCAAAATCTTTATAACATTACTTGTGCAGGAATTGATATATGAACATCTGAAATACGCACAGGTAACCTCCTGATGGAATTCACAGAGAAATATTGATAGTATGGCTCACATTTAAAGACCAGGTGTATATTCAGATACAGTTGAAACCTTAACATCTGGAGAGATGATCATCAGGCATAGTACAAATCTCCATACATGTATTCAGACAACATAAAAAGAAAGGAGGAGAAATGTAGCAGCATCTTTAAGACTGATTTTTATTTTAGCAGGAAGTCTTAATTTCCCCCTCCTTCTTTTTATGCTGCAAGAAACTAACATAACTATTTATTTGAAAACTACTACAATTGTATACATTATGAATCTTATCCCAATGCTTTTAGCCAATCATGTTAGGGAGCAAAATGCAAGACCAGCTGGATTCTTTGGTTCAACCAACAAGACTCTCTTTTACTATAGACAGGTGTGCATAGTGGCCTATTTATGCCCCCAATCCCTTTTTGCAAGAGGTGAGGCATGCTTCTTGGGCAAGATATTTTGCCTCCCAATTTGGAACATCAACCCATCTCAAATTTCCCAGTCAAAGAGTATAATATATTTGCTCCTATGTGATGTCAGATCTTATCACGAGTTTTTCTTAGCAACGTTTATTCAGAAGAGGCTTGCCATTATCCTTCTCTTAGTCTGAGAGCATATGACTTGCCTAGAGTTATCATGGCTGAGCAGGGTTTTGAATCCTGCACTCCCGCAACTTTAGTACACTTTAGTACTTTAGTACAACACTCAAACCACTTTATCACACTCCCTATCAGAATCATATCCTTATTCTGGCACCTAACATGGAAAAAAAATCATATTCAGTTCTCCTTGGGAGTAAAAAATACAATAGCACTGGGTTTACAAGGATGCTCTTTAAATCATAGTTACCATACTGGCTTCTGCTTGCACAGCTAAGATACTCTTTTGGATGTAAGCTGCCCCGAGTCCCCATTGGGGAGATGGTGGCGGGGTATAAATAAAGATTATATTATTATTATTATTATTATTATTATTATTATTATTATTATTATTTGTTACAGCTTGACCAATGGGCCATGACATGAGTCACAGCATAACATCTTCCTTGTTCCACAGAAGTGGCTTGCCAAATTACTCCAATTCCCCATACCAGGAGAAGAGAGAATTAGGATCTCATTCCATACCATTTCCAGAGCCCCTCTAATGGCACCACACAGGAGGCTGCAATAGCAAAGTGAAGATCTTCCTTCTGGCAGTTCCTCCACGAAGTCCATCAAGGGATTCTTCTCCAGAATGAGAGAAAATTCATTTCTTGCTGGGCTATTGCAAGTCACCATAGGGGTAATTCCCAGATACATCTTAAAAGCAACCTGGAAATGAAAATGTAAATCATCTAAGCACTGGGTGACGCTAGATGTCATGCTAGATGTGCTTGGGGTTTTAGAAGAGTAATCACTGTGAGTCTGCACTTGGAGGGAAGTAGAATATAAGAGGCCACAGGAGAGCCTTTTGTGCACAATTTTCCTCACTTCTCACAGTATTGCTCCCACAATAACAAGGACCAGCTGTATCATTTATGCAAGATGAGGCAAATGCCTCATATGGAAGATAAGGAAACAAATGATAGTCATGCAAGTTTGGAATTTTGAAGCTGTTATCCAAAAAAAGTAACTTTTATCAATTCTAAAATAAAGTAAAATTGAATTCCCCCAATCCAGCTTTTCTATACTAGATCAGGAAATATGGCATTTTGTCACTTCTGATAGCTATCCTGGATTGGTATCCATTCCAGAACAGGGGTTCATCTGATATGATGCTTATTTATATAAACTATACTTTCTGTTAACAAGAAAGATAAGCACTTTCATTATCATCTGTTATTCACTGTCGCTGCCATCAATGCCATCAAAATATTGAAGGAAAAAGCTATCATCTTCATCGCATGGCTATAAACATGGTCTATGTATATATTAGAATTTAAGCCTGCTTGGATTATTCCTTTTTTAAAGGCTCCATTGTGGAATATCCATTCCCATCTGTTTGTAATATTACCAGCTAACTTGATATATTTCATATGGACCATGTTTTGTCTGTTGTACTCAATTTTATTTAGTTTCCTAAGTCCTGGATTTGAAATGAAACAGATGCCTTGCAAGAAGTAGGCAGTGCCACTTTCACACTTTCATATCTTCCACAATTGTTTAGGATTGGAAATATGAAGGGTTTGGGATAAATCATACAGTGAACAACAGATACCAGAATTCTGTGATATTTTTAGAGCTTAGATAAGTTATTCTTCTGCACTCCATTGCCAATGGTCATTGGCTAGGTTGGTTGGGGGATTCTGGGAGTTGCCATTCAAAAAAATTATTTTTGTGTGTTCTGAAAACCTACAAAGCCTCCCCTACCTTTCTTTAGCCTACCTTTTAGACCTTCAGTAAACAAAAACTTTAGGTTTTTGCTAAACAATGAATAAAAATGTTAGACAGGGGACAGAATCAGAAATAGAACCCACTTATTGTTTCCTCTGCCATTTTATAATAGTAAAAATGAAGACACTTCTGTAGTAGTCAAGCAATGGGTTTAAATACTTAAAATACACCATATCCTGTCTAATCTTGGAAGCTAAGCAGGGTCAGCATTAGTTACTACTTCTATGGTTGACTGCCAATGAATACCAACTATATTTTAGAGGAAGTGCTTACAAAAAATCAACCCCCCCCCCTCATGAAAAATGAATTAAATGTGAATTTATCTTATATTTTTTGACATGTTACTGTTTTGCAATGCCAAATGGGCGGCATCCCCTGCTTCACCTTTGCCCTTCTTCCCTTAACCCTGATGACCAACTGCACCCCCCAGAAATACTCAAGCTCAGTCCTTTGTGTGTAAATGGATTGCTTCGGGAAAAGGCTTCACAAGAAATGCATGAATGTTTCCTGATCCCCAACTGATACTTCCTCTGTGTATGCAATATTATTCCCTCCTCACTCCTGGATTAATTAATAAGTGTATGTTTTCCCTATCCCCATTTCATGAATTATATAATCTTATCCCTTATTCTTGTATGCCTATTCAAAAATCCGCTGTAAGGAAATATAAACATGTGCGCTTATGCGATGGATAAAAATGTGTGCTTATGCAGTTCAGCACAAAATCACAGACACGATTGAGCAAACTTAACAAATGCTAATGCCTGTGTGTGTACCCAAGGTGCTCCTGGTTTCCGCATACATTTTAATCTCATGCTGTCATTCAGAAGCTTTCTGGATTTATTGATAAGATCCAGAGATATCTACTCCTGAGGATCAGCATACAGATTACTAATATTTGCTAAACATTGAACTGTTCTGTCTGCAGAACTACCCATTGTGTTTGACCAAGCTCTTTTTGTATGAACTGGACTGAGGAATTATTTCAATCATGGACTGTTTTAGATCATGCCACACTGCCTTCCAGAAGTCCATGAATGTGGCAGACCTTTAACGGGACTCAAACGTTAAACCAAAAAATGGCAGTTGTTTATTTTTCCCACCATGAACCAGTGATGACATCAGAGGGAATCCCCATCCAATGGGAGCCCGGATCCTAGCTGTACTGATTTTCAGCTAATCAGAGGCTGATGCGAGTATTCTGAATAATAATAATTATAATAATTTTATATCTTGCACACCTCTCCTTGTGGCTCATAACTGTCAAACGTAAATAAATATTCACTGCATTTCTTGATGCTTTATGTCAGATCTTTGAGAGTGCAGACTCTACTCTGACATCCTTGCAGGTCTAAAAGAATCAAACCTTTGTTCCTCTTTGCCTTCAAACCCAGTTCGTGTCCTGTTTCGGTCACTGGAGTAAATAGTGCAACGGGTTTCAGTGAATAGCTGAAATCACTCAAACAGAAGGAACTAGCAAATCCACTTCTGAGTATTTATTGTCTAAAAAAGACCTATGCAATTTATGGAGTAACCACAAGTTCAACTGGTAACTTGAATTCACACACACATAGCAGTCAAGTATATGCCTGGGAAGTGGACAGAGGTGTGAAATGCACCTAACATAATCATCAAGAGCCAATAAAATAGGATTTGAAGTCGCCCTTTCCTGATCAAGGCAGTGCACATATCTTCCCATACCTGTGCAATTATTTCTGTTGTCTCAGAATAACTCCGGCATTTCTTCACTGCAGAGTGAGCCAAAAAGTCTTCAATCAACCTGATGCCAATACTATGTCCCCTGCCAGAAAACAGGAACATTTTATCTGTAAATACTTAGGATTTGCAGTTCTACCTTTTACTTTCCTCCTCTGCTTTTTATTTCATGACAGAAAATGCTCAGTTGATTGATACAGCAAAAGGTACATTGCTTGGCACAGAATCTAATAATGTGGAAGGCTTATATGTTTTCTTAGCACTTTAGAAATGCCTCTGCACAGTACAATTTTAAGCAGGGATGCAAAATGGTGCCTACGGGTCACAGGCCACCCCCAAGAGTGCGTCTGTGGCCCCCCGGGTTTGATAAATGGTTTTCTTCCTAATGCTCCCAAATCATCTTTAGTGGCTTTAGATGGCATTTCTATGTTTCCAGTCTCCTGGAAACCCCAGGGGCCAAAATGAAACTTTGGGATTTTTTTTAAAAAAAATGTTTGGTGTCAAAATGTCTTATAATACTAAGAGCCCAGTAAGGAAATTTGGGCGCAACTACTACTACTACTAATTCAGGAGTAGGTACATTTCTTTCAAGGTCCATTTTCATTCAGGTATCAGATAGAAAGACACCACATCTCTCTCCCATCTGTTGCTTGTGAGTACACATGGGCATTAATAACACTTTATTTGTACCCTGCTACCATCTCCCCAAGGGACCCGGTGCGGCTTACATGAGGCCGAGCCCAAATACAACAATATAAGCAATAATAACAACAATAAAAGCAATTAAAATAAAAACATAAACAATTTTTTAAAATGTAACAATTAACAATAAGACAACACACAATTAAAACTATGGGTAGGCCAAATGTAAAGTTAAAATTGGAAGTAATGCCTTCCTTGCAATGCTTGCACACAGGTGGAAGTATTCCTGTTTGTTGGGTCAGTGAATCTTCTTTGGGTTTTAGTTTCAACTTTGAGGAGACTACTCAAGCTGTTGAGCCCTAGCCTGCAAATAGATCCAGCACCTTGAAACTCATGGGGTGCCATAATTTGACAGGTAACTTGAAGGCAGGTACATACAAAGTTTCAGAAAGATAGAGTAGCAATCTTAGTGATGAAAGTGGCATTACTAAAAACTAGGCCTGGGTAACAACGGAAAAATTTGTTTCTAAAATCGATTCGTTTTTTGGGGTTCTTTGCGTTTTGTTATTTAAAATAATTACAAAATTTTCCTTTAAAAAAGTTCGATATTTACGAAATTTCGTAAATGTGAAAAAAATTACAAAACAATAACGAATCGATTTCCGAAACAATAACGAATCGATTGTTAATGGCGGACGCGACCGCGCAATACGCTAAAAAACCTCCAAATGGGACAGGGGGAACTTCTGAAGCTTAATTCAACCAAAAACAACTATAAAAACCCTTAGAAAACCAAAAACAACTATAAAACTTGCCCCAGACATGCGGAAATAATAACGAAATGACCTCAAAATGATAACGAAACGAATACAATAACAAAATACAAAACATTTACGAAACGATTTAAAAAATCGTTTTTTAAAAAAATTGCTCCAGACTGGTTCGTTATCGTTTTGTAATTGAAAAATTAACGAATTTTTTAACGAATTACGAATTAACGAAACAAAACCGCCCAGCCCTACTAAAAACAGTACTAGATGTTCTGTAGTATTATGGAGTTACTCTTGATTACGCACAGGGGATTTTTATCAAAAGGCCAAAACAAAGTGCAGTCATGAGTTTGAAAGCTTTGAATGGATCTGAGTAAGAGCTCTATTACATCTTCTCTCTCTTAATGTATCATGTTCATGCTGGGTTTTGACCGGAAAAGCAATTTATGTTAATGGGAAAGCATTATGCTATAGCAGACTACACAATAAAAGCCAAAAGTAGAGTGTAATAGCCAGTGCAGCCAAAGTATTCCCATACACTGTCTACAATGGAGAGGGGAAAATTACCCATCTCATTCCTGGGCAACTGTCCAATGTGCACATTGATGGGGAAGCCAACAAAGAGGGAGAAGCAGCTGACTAGGGGCCATTTCACACTAAATAGTTACATTATTTTGATCCCACTTTAATGTCTTGGCTCCACATTAAGGAACCCTGGGATCTATAGTTTAGAAAGGGGCATTTATTGTTATTAGCCAGAGAGTTCTAGTGCTTCTTGCATCCCTAACCCCAGTGAACATGGAGGGCATTTAAATCTGGAGGTAGAGTGAGTTCAGACAATTTGTCTCCTGAGTAAATATGCTGGAGAACCAATGAATAAATAAAAAAATGGGACAGGAGCCATTTCATAAACCTGGTTAACCTTGAATTTCTGGGCCGGTTTTGTTAGCTTTTGATCAAACTACTGTTCCTTGTCAGATCTAGCATAGTATGCACTTGCTACTTACATGGTGTCCAAACATTTGTTCACATCTTCATCCTGTTCATAATCCTTGCACAGCTGAGCCACCAAAGCCCCATAGGTAAGCACAAACAGCTCTCTGCTCTGTCGATTACAGAAAATATTGAGTGAAACATACCAAACATACTAACAGAGTTCATAAATATACCAAGGCAGAAAGATAAAGGAAAAAGAGCTTTCTCTAATATATCCACAACTCTCTGACAGAAATCTTGTCAACGATGCACCAAAAACGACATCTATTGTAAAACAAAAACAAAAGCACATTGGTCAAGTACTATATTTGTCTCAATACTACAAGACTCAAGGTGTGGGGTAAGCTCCCATCTGTCAGCTCCAGCTTCTCATGCGTGGACATGAGAGAAGCCTCCCACAGGATGGTAGAGTACCCGGACGTCCCCTGGACAAAGTCCTTGCAGACAGCTAATTGTCACACCAGAAGCGACTTGCAGTTCCTCAAGTCACTCCTGAAACACACACACACAAACAACTCCAAGCCAAATATAAGGGAAATGCAGCAGCATTCCACAAGGTTCAGAATGCATTTGTTTACTTGTTATGCAAGATTGTTTCATTGTACATGTTCTTATTGTTATTCTTATTGTTAGTTTTGAACAAAAGGGGACTCTTCCTTGGACTGGTTGATTTTGACACTAACAGTTTAAATCACAGAGGTATATATGTTCAGAAAAATAAAAGAGGAATGAAAAGGGAAAAAAGAAATAATTAAAATACAGTAGGACTCCTGACTGTGAAGCAGGCTTTTCTCCCCTTGAGCAATTGCTCAAGAGCTTAGCCAAAATGCTCCGTTCAAGTTCAGTTGCGGACGCAGATGAGTCAGGAAAAACAGCCAACTGGGTTCAGCAAGAATATCAAAGTTTATTTTAGCAGCTGCTAGTTGACTTCCGACACAACAAGGCGTCTCTGGGGGAAGTCACCCAGCACAAAGGGTTAGGGTTTCTTTTATACATACAAAGGGGTTCGGCTTTAAGAGCCGCCCCAAAGATTAAATCATTGGTTAAGAGAGCTGTCAATATTACATTTATGTTAAGCAATTAGATCATACACTTTTAAGTTTCGTTTCCCAATAAGCAAGCTCTTTTTGGAAACATCACAAGATGCTGATGCAGCTGGAGACTCTGCAAAGTCAGCATGTCTCTTGACCGATACTTCACCCTTGCACAAAAAACTTATCTTTGGCACCAAAACCCGTCTTTGTTTCCCATATATGGTCAAGTCCATATCCGTTCTCCTTTCTACATGAAAACTCCGGCATTTTGTAAAACTAAAGCTATACCTTCTGAAGAGCCCACAGAACAAAATTGAGGGGTATTTGCCATCACAACTATTAGGTCAACTGATCTGAAAAAATATGGGATCTGATCCTGCCTTAACTGTGCAACAAGATTCATTTTTATTATGCCTCAGGTCTGTATCTACACTAGATCTGTATCTACACATAAGCAGATACACATATATACTGAGGTACATATTCCTCATTCTTCCTATTGCTCTTCTTATTGCCCCCAGTGGTACAATGGAGTAAACCCTTGTGCCAGCAGGATTGGCAGTTCGAATCTGGGAGCGGGGTAAGCTCCCATCTGTCAAGCTCTAGCTTCTCATGCGGGGACATGAGAGAAGCCTCCCACAGAATGGTAAAACATCAATCATCCAGGCGTCCCCTGGGCAACGTACTTGCAGACGGCCAATTCTCTCACATCAGAAGCAACATGCAGTTTCTCAAGTCACTTCTGACACAAAAAAGATTTGTGTTTTATTATGGCTTCTACAAAGGGTAAGGGGGCACCCATGGGCACAGGATGCTAGGAAGCTGGAAGCAAAGTAGTCTCTTTTTCTCACATGTGTCTCTTGAAAAGAAATGATTTCATATTGGAAGGACTCTTGGAAGTTTCTTCAGAGTTTTACTTATATATGGCTTCAATTCTCTTGTCAAACTGTCCACGTGAGCTGGTTATAAGATCTACCATAGCTTTTAAAAATATTTTAAACCAATCAGCTCTCCGGCACAGCCTAATCTGTGTTTCTTGTACTTCAGTTTCATCAGCATAATTACATCCTGTGCCTTATTCAAACTCTGCTGTAAAATGGCAATTAACTTCAGATTATCAGAGATTGCCTGTTCAGGTAACTGATATCCTTCTCTTAAGGCATAGGGATCTTTCTCTATTATTTCCCTATTACTTCTGCCTCTGGTACTATTTTTTATTCTGTTAAAGAGGTCCTGGTCAGGAATACTTATACTTTGTTAGCCTATGCTTCTTAAATTATGATTGATGATTGTAATTTCAACTGTTGGTGTCACATAAAAACTTAGATATTTATCACACAGTTGTCTTGCCAAGTCTGGAAGCCTGGAAACTGATTCAAATGTGCATCTTTCATTTACCTGTCAACTTTTCATTAGGTTTTGACTAGATACCAGTTTCTGGAAGAAAACCAATGATAATAGTAAAAGTTATGCTGCCATCTAGTGGCCAAGAAGGGAAGTTATGACTGGGCAACTTTCAGTTGTTGGACTGTAGCTTGTTAAGGCTGATGGGAGATGCACTCCATTAATATTTAAAGGGCCACCCAATCTCAAATAATTTGAAAAGTTTGAAAGAGAGAAGCAAAATTAATATGTATACAAATAACTGCTAAACCTTCTTTGCAAATAATTCACAAATAATAACAACAATACATTTTATTTATTACCCGCTTCTCCTGATGGCTTGAGGCAGGATACAACAAAGTCAAAACATATGAACATAAAACACATAGATAAAAATGCACCATTGTAAAAAAAAAACAACACCAAGACAGATTACATAGTAAATATATAGCAACAGTAGAATATAAATCAATAGTCATGACTGAAAGTTGACTGGATAGGCCTGCCAGAAGAGATGAGTCTGGCATATAGCAACAGTAGAATATAAATCAATACTCATGACTGAAGGTTGATTGGATAGGCCTGCCAGAAGATCTCTCATATGTGTCTTCATACGTGTTTTAAATTCTGACAGCTGATTTAGCCATTGGGGCTCTTCCGGCAGGTTGTTCCACAGTCTTAGGGTGCCACTGGGTGACAGTCATCAGTCGGGTTCTGGCTGCCTGGAGTAACCGCCCCCTAGAGGACATCAGTGTCCTAAGGGGCTGTGGGTTGTGCACAGACATAGCAAAGATTCAGTAACTAACTTCCTCCCAAACAATACCTTCCTTGACAATAAAATAATTTATCATACCTATTCCTTTCAAGAAATGCACTTGTTTTAGTCTGAAGAACTGTTATGCACCAGATGAAATCAGACTAAGTTGTCACCTTTGATAAGCATACAAACATATGTCAGCATGAAGAGCCAAAATCAAATAAATACTAGCAAAATATTTCTTGTTTTCCTGCTTCTTTCTGGCTATAGTACTATTGTAGTATAGTGTAGTATGCACCCTGTACATGTCATGGACACTGTCTCTTTTTGTTATCATTGTTTACTATGTCTTCATGGAAAGACATCTGTGGCTTTAAGGCCTGGGTTCAGATCTCTACTCAGACATAAGTGTCACTGGATGAGCACTCATCCATAGCCTAACTTTCCTCACAGTGCTCGTGAGAAAACAGAATGGCATATTTTTAGCCCAAGTTCTGGAAATCTCCTTGTATGAAACAAATATTCCCTATGGATTCTGTGAAATGGGATTCATTTCTTTCCCAACCCTCTCTTACACTCAATGCCCTCTTTCGTATCTTGGATTTTGACATTTTAACATACATTATTGTTCTTGTAGATATTTTCTCTCTGTGTGTATCCCACACTTCATCAAAATGGGTGTGATTTCCTTGGAAATCTTTGTTTTCAAAAAAAACCCTCTAATTTCTTCACAAATAGTTTATACATGTTTATACATGTTCAGTAGGGCATTCTGGTGGCAGCTGCTGATTACATTGCTTGTTGTGGGCAGATACACAGCTACAGTTAGAATTGGCTTCAGCAGGCTCCTGTTCTTTCCCAACTCAAATTTCATTGCATTATTCACTGCAGAAATGTTGCTCCAACTAAGTCCTGAAAAACCCATGTTTCTCTGTTTCTCCGCTATTATCTCCCCCATGCTAATGTTGCTAAAAACATTCCAGCTAGACAAATGGCAGGATGAAAAAGTCATACTGGGCAGGGATAAATAGAGCTTCTTTGTCAATGCATAGGGAGATACTTCCCCCCCCCCCACCACACACACACACACACACACACACACTTCTGAATGTGTGGTGCTGGCATCGCCATCCCTATCCCTGTATCTTATATCACAGTCGACACCACTTAATACCTGTGGTTTCCTAGATCGTCTAAAGATCTAATACTATCGTAATTCATCACTACAGCTGCCACAAGCAATGAAACCTGTATTCAAGTCAAACACGCTCCCTTCTGAACCAAAACAATGCATGGGAAATAGTGACACTTCTAAAATATGTTCATATTATCTATCACACAGGACTGTGCATACATTTAAATTTGCCAAGAACATTTAAAAACATTTTCAAAGCCCCAAAAGCCTTACAATTTTTGGATTCTCTGGTCTTCTGTTTCCTTGTCGGGACATTTTTCTTAAGCAGCAGCAGAGTCTATAATGTTGTTTATGTCCTTTCAGCTTTGGGTAGCATTTTCCCTTCCTGTTACTGGATTTCTTCTTTTATCCTGGCTAAAGCATTCATCTTTGACTGTAAATGAGCTTTCCGCTTTTGCTGATGTGCCTCTTATTCTCCCCGCAAACCTTGAGAAATGTATTTGGCAAAAAGTCAAGGCTGCTTCAGAAAAAAAAAACAACCTGACTCAGATCTGTAATAGAGCCATTTAACAGCAGAGATTGCCAATCACTCTTATAATAGCTGATCTCATAGTGTGAAGTCAGGACAACAAACACATAAGAGTACAGTATGATTGTATCAGATTTATCTATATCTATGTATACAGATTGAGTATCCCTTATTCCTTATCAGGGGTATTTTGTGCTTTTCCTGCATGGCAGGGGTTAGATGGCCCATGTGGTCCCTTCCAACTCTACTATTCTATACTATTATTCTGAGATTTGGGATTTTGGGATACCTGTATTTGCCTATATGTAGGTAATAAACTACCTATCTTGGAGATCGGACCCAAGTCTAAACATAAAATTCATGTATAGTTCATATTCACCTTAAACACAATCCCCATCTATTGTGCTGTTGTAAGAATATAGTCTGGAAGTGTCTGAATAACATCATGATCATAATCACTACCACAACTACCATCATGTTGGGTAGGTACACAATCATCTTACATGTTTTCTGTGTTGCTATTAATCCCCACATCAACCAATTAGGTAGATTTTTGGGCCATGTTTGTGTTTACCCAGGCAGATGAACGTTTATATTCCAGGGAACCCAGAACTGTACTTAAGATAGCAGGCCAATGTGAGGCTTATGTACTTGTATTTACCACATGTTTTACAAAACAGAAAGAAGAGAGCAAATAATAATAATAATACTTTATTTATAAGCTGTTCTATCTCCCTGAGGGGACTCAGGGTGATAACAACACTAACAACAAGTAGAGGAGTTAACAATATGACAACAGGTGAATCTGTAATGTAGAATTATTGCAGTTTGGGCACATTTATACTGACACTATAAGGCAGCACTCAGTATTTTCACTAGTCATTCTGTTGTGTAGCGCCTTTTGATTTTAGGATTTTATTAGTTTTGCTGCACTGTGATTTGATTCACGAGTGGAACTCGACTGAGGTCAGGTGGATGATTATATCAACCATGAGGCTGTTATCAAAAAATCAGACCCCCCACCCCACCCCCTCAAAGATGGCCTCAACATGAATTCAGGAGAAAACTGTTAGCAGAGTCTTTCTTTATTATAAATTCATAGTGGAAAACATCAAAAGTAAGAAAACAAACATCTTGCATCAGATATCAGACCCTAAACAAAACATTTAGAGTCCCAAACTCCAAAAACGCCATAGCTTCTCCAAAAGCTCAAGGCTATAGCAATAGCAGAACGCTGAGGGACGCTGAAAGCTGCTGAAGGCTGCTGCTGGCTGCAGGCAGATGCAACACATTATAACCACAGTAATTAGATCCACCTGCACCCAATTAACCAAAACCACATCACAAGCATTTCAGCAATTAAAGATACAAACTTACTTATACATACATAACCCAAATACATACAATGAACAGATAAAATTTTGCACATTTTTACAGTTCTCCTGACAAAAACCCCAGCCAATGAATGCCTGAATTCTAGTTGGCCTGGCTTTCTGACCAATCAGGCAAGAGTACAGGTATTTTGAATGGCTGTCAAAGTGAATAAAATGTCCTGAACTTTGCTGCATGCTTTATGCCTGATCCTCCTGAGCACAGACTTGATATCAGACATCCTTTCAGGTCTGAAAGTAATTAACCCGTTCCTGTTGCATTCAAACTTGGTTTGCGTGTTCCTGCTCCTTTGGTGCTCCTTTAGTCAAGCTCCCGGTGGTGCAGTGGGTTAAACCACTGAGCTGCTGAACTTGCTGATCAAAAGGTCGCTGGTTCAAATTCGGGGAGCGGGGTGAGCTCCCACTGTTAGCCCCAGCTTCTGCCAACCAAGCAGTTCAAAAGCATGCAAATGTGAGTAAATCAATAGGTACCACTCTGGTGGGAAGGTAACAGTGCTCCATGCAGCCATGCCAGCCACATGACCTTGGAGGTGTCTAGGGACAACGGCGGCTCTTCGGTTTGGAAATGGAGATGAGCACCAACCCTGGTAGTTAGACATGACTGGACTTAATATCAGAGGAAAACCTTTACCTTTACTTTACCTGAATTTACACCTCAGAGCCTGATTTCAGACTGTTGTGCCGTCCCCGCTCACATACTTTCGGAGAGATGTGTATTAGTGCTCCAGAGGCATTTGGGGGGGGGGGGGGGG